CCCCTGCTCAGGCAGGAAACCCTACACCATTTCGGACAAATGGCTGTCCAGTCTCTTCTTAAAAACTTCCAGTGTGGGAGCATTCACCACTTCTGGAGGCAGGTTGTTCCACTGGTTAATTGTTCTAACTGTCAGGAAAGTCCTCCTTAATTCTAGGTTGATTCTCTCTTGATTAGTTTCCATCTGTCGCTTCTTGTCCTGCCTTATGGTGCTTTGGAAAACAGAATAGGAGTTGAAAGGGACCTTGGAGATCTTCTAGTCCAACCCCCTGCTCAACCAAGAGACCCTATTTCATTCTGGACAAATGGATGTCCAGTTTCTCTTTAAAAACTTCCAGTGTTGGAGCACCCACAACTTCTGGTGGCAAGCTGTTCCACTGGCTAATTGTCCTCACTGTCAGGAAGTTTCTCCTTAGTTCCAGGTTGCTTCTCTCGTTGATGAGTTTCCATCCGTTGCTTCCTGTCCTGCCTTCGCGATAAATAAACCACCATTTTGATAGGAAACCGGATGCTTGAGCCAGGTAGACTCGGCTGCACGTGGAATTATTGCCATTTGAAAGCAAATCTTGGTTTCTAGGTATGCCAAGAGGTATTTCCTTGGATTTAGCCCAGATTTTATTATTATCATTATCATTATTATTATTATTATTATTATTATTATTATTATTATTATTATTATTATTATGGATCATCGCACAGTCAGCCAGATGTTCAGACTGGATTTGGCATTTTGTCTACCTATCGAGTCCTTACCCAGGACCTGGGATAGGAAGATGTGGATGTTTGATGGTATTACAGGTATCGTCGCAGGATGGAAGCAGTTCCTAGTAAGGCCGCCTTTTGCAATTGACGAATAGCGAATTTGTCAATGCCAATGGTGTTCAAGTGGTGCTCCAGTTGTTTTGGGATTGCACCCAAGGCGCCTATGACTATTGGTCCTACCCTTGCTTGCTTTTGCCACAGTCTTTCTATTTCTATTTGTAGGTCTTTGTATTTTGTTATCTTCTCCAGCTCTTTCTCATCTATTCTGCTGTCTCCAGGCACTGCCATGTTGTTGTTGTTGTTGTTGTTGTTGTTGTTATGTTCAATCATGTCCTGTATTCTGGTAAACAGTCTGGCTAAGTCCCTGCAAAGTATTTTTTTTGTTTAGAAATGATTTTGCCATTGCTTTCTTCCCAGGGTTGATAGGGAGTGACTGGCCCAAGGTTCCCCCAGCTGGGTTTGTGCCTAAGGCAGAACAACAACTCACGGTCTTGTGCTTACTGCCCTGATGTCTTCACCACGACACCAATCAGTCAGGACAGAAAGACTCCAATTATGGCCAAACCCTGGCGACGGAAGAAGAGGGCAGGGTGTGTATGTGGGTGTGTACAATGGTTTGTGTACGATGTGAATATAGCCAGGGATTCAGTCTGTGACCCTATTTATATACACTGATGACAACCTGGATTCAACTTAGCTCTGAGTGCTCTGTGCATCAACACTGCAATTCCTGCTCGGGTTAAAAGAGAGCAGGAATTGCTCTCAAGGGAGACTGCAAAACACAATTCCCGCAACGTATTGTGCCGAGACAGAAACCACACCCTGCCTTTGAATGTTCGACTCATAAGACATCCTAACACAAAGGGCCTGGGTTTCCATGACACCGGGTTTCCTCGGCTGAGGGTCCACTACTACAGAGCCTCCACTGGCTGGGGAATTCTGGGAGACGAAGTTCACCCATCATAAACTTGCCGAGTTTGGGAAAAGCTGGCCTAGTTCGGGGGGGTAGGCAACCTTGGTCCTTTTATGACTCGTGGACTTCAACTCCCAGAATTCCTCAGCCAGCATGGGGAACTATGGCCCCCTCATGACTCGTGGACTTCAACTCCCAGAATTCCTCAGCCAGCATGGGGGAACTATGGCCCCCTCATGGCTCGTGGACTTCAACTCCCAGAATTCCTGAGCCAGCATGGGGGAACTACGGCCCTTTCATGACTTGTGGACTTCAACTCCCAGAATTCCTCAGCCAGCATGGGGGAACTATGATCCCCTCATGACTCGTGGACTTCAACTCCCAGAATTCCTGAGCCAGCATGGGGGAACTATGGCCCCCTCATGACTCGTGGACTTCAACTCCCAGAATTCCTGAGCCAGCATGGCTCAGCTTGGAAACCTCTCCCTTTCCCCTCAGCGTGGCTGGCTCAGGAATTCTGGGAGTTGAAGTCCACCAGTCATAAAAGAGCCAAGGTGGCCTACCCCTGGCCTAGATTAATCAACCCATTGTCTGAAATGGTATAGAGCAGAATTCCCTAATCTTTCCAGAAGGAAAAGGAACAGCAGGGAAATGGGCGCGCACAGGATGGCATGCACAAGTGGGTTGTGTTCATCTGCGGCGTGTGTGCTGGCGCCTGTGCGCATGCAGAACAGGCTGTGCCCACCCACGGCATGCGCTAGTGCACAAGCACTTGTGCGCGTGTGCAAATGGGGCTGCTAGTGCCCGTGCGGTGCTACTACCAGGAGAGGGGAGGGGCTCGCCAGCTATTCCCAGGGCACGGTGGCCAACAGGCCGCAGCCTGGTACCCTAGACTGGGGACTCCTGGTATGTAGGGTCTCATGCCTGACCAGGGGGTTGGACTAGAAGACCTCCAAGGTCCCATCCAGCTCTATTCTTCTGTTCTGTTCAAATATACGATGGAGTCCTATTTATACCACACGCTATTGACACCGGATGGATTCACACCGTAGGACTTAACGACCGTGTTTCACCCTGATGATCCTTGCAGCATCACATGATCAAAATTCATTCACTTGGCGACGGACTCCTATTTATGATGGTCCCGGGGTCACGTGACTCCCCTTTTGCAAACTTCTGACAAGCAAAGTCACAGGGGGGGAAGCCTGATTAAACAACCCTGTTTACTTACTTAGCCACTGCTGTGTGGATTCGCTTAGCAACCGTGGGAAAAAAGATTGTAAAAACGGGGCAAAGTTCACTTAACAACTGTCCCGCTTAGCAACCGTATGTTTGGGCTCAATTGTCATCGTAAGCCGAGGACTGCCCGTAATTTACGGTAGCCGCCGAGCGAGCGGAGACTGGAAGGTTTTTCCTGGATTCAAATTTTACTCAGGGGAGTTTTGCCCTGGATGAAGCTGGACTGTTGGGAAAGGTGATCCCAGGTGAGAATGTTAAGCAACGAGAGGCCATGTTGGAAGCAGCGGCTGGAGCTGCAGGAAGAGACCTTGTGTGCACGCAGAGAAAGGGATGGAGAAGACTAGGGGGCGAGCCAGTTTAGCAGAGAATTGGCTCTCTTTTCTCTGACAAGTCCCGCCTTCTTTTCCCAAAAGTGCTGCTCATCCTAAACGGGAAGAGGATCACGGGCAGGGCTCTCCGATCTCAGGTGAGAATACCCAAAAGCGGAAGTGTCACGCTCCGCTCTGCCATCTGGTGCCGGTCCAGTTGTTCGCAGCCCGTAAAAAGAGACCGGACAGCCACTTGTCTCCAATTGTATAGTCCTCAACTTACATTAAGTGACTATTCAAAGTTACAACGGCATTGAAAACAGGGACTTATGACTCACACTTTTTTTGATTTTAATTTTTCATTTTTCCAATTTACAAAACATTAAGCATTTTTTTTAACGGTACTGTGTTGTGTATCTCTTACACTTATTTACATTTATTACTATACATTTTTGTGTCTCTGTTCTAACCAATTATACCACTTATCCCACACCTCATAAAATTCTGCTTCTTCCTTGCCTTTCATTTCTAGCGTAAGCTTATACACCTCGGTACATTCTAATACAGTGCTTCTCAACATTTGTGTGACGGCGACCCCCGTCACACAAACGTTCTGCGCATGCGCCGGGCCGCGCGCATGGGGGCGGGGCGCCCACGCGCGGCGCGCATGCGTGGCACGCCCCCATGCGTGCCCCATGCGTGCCACCCCCCCATGCGCGGCGCGCGTGCACGGTGCTGCCCCCATGCGCAACGCGCATGCGCGATGCCCCCCCCACGTGCGGCGCGCGTACACGGTGCCGCCCCCATGCACGGCGCGCATGCGCGGCGGCGCCCCCATGTGCGGCGCGCGTGCATGGCACCGCGAAAAATGGCGGATCGCCGCCTTTGGCGACCCCCGAAAAATGGGCGATCGACCCCAAATGGGGTTGCGACCCATAGGTTGAGAACCGCTGTTCTAATACCTTATAAATAATCATATCATTAGCTGGTATATTTTCAAGTTTCCAGCCTTGAGCATAGACCAGCGATGGTGAACCTTTTAGAGACCGAGTGCCCAAACTGCAACCCAAAACCCGCTTATGTATTGCCAGGTGCCGGGTGGGTGTGACCCATTGGGTGGGTGCAGCTACAGTGGGCGTGACAGACTGGGCGGGCATGGGCTGGGTGGGCACGACCACCTTGATATTGCTTCTGGGGAGGGACACCTGTGGGAGCTGGGCAGGGTTGGGGGAGATCCAGGGAGTCTCTGGCAGGTGGGATGGTGGGCTCCCCAGTGGCGGCTGCAGGCTGGCTGGCCTTAGGCCAGTGATGGCGAACTTTTAGAGACCGCCTGGGTGCCGGGGCGATGGCGCGTGCCCACAGAGAGGGCTCCGCGTGCCACCTCTGGCAGGCGCACCATAGGTTCGCCACCACTGAGCTAGGGTCTCCTGCCTGAGCCAGGGGGTTGGACTAGAAGACCTCCAAGGTCCCTTCCAACTGTATTCGGATCGATTGAAATGGGAAGCGCCCACCCTCGGGCGAACTTGGCCCCCAGCCACTGGGGCGGAGGCGAGGAGAGTCAGGGCGACCGCGGGCTGCAAGCGCTTTGCCGGGCACTGCCCTCTCCCCCCCCCCCCCCAGCATTTATTGATGCGCGAGGAAAAGCGCACGCGGGGCGGGGAGGGGCGGGGAGGGGGGGTGTCGGAGGAGGAGGAGGCGGGGCCCCTCCAGCCATGTGCGCGCGGCGGGGGCGGCGTCTATAAAAGGGGCCGCGTCCGCCGCCTCCTGTCCAAAGCGGGCGCAGCCGGCGAGGCGGTGGCGGCGGTGTGTGTTTTCTGCTCCTTCCCTCCCGCGCCCGCCTGGTGGCCGCGATGCCTTCCCGGCCGCCGCTGCGGAGCCTGGCCTGCCTGCTGGCCCTGCTGGCCGGAGCCACCTGGGCCTCCCCGGCTTCCCCGCGCCGGGAGCGCGCCCCGAAGGCGGCCTCGTGGGAGGAGGTGAACGTGCTGGCGCACGGGCTGCTCCAGCTGGGCCACGGGCTCCGCGAGCACGTCGAGCGGCTGGGCGGGCAGCTGCGCGAGCTGAGCGGCCGGCTGGGCGCCCACAACGCCTCGCTGGCCGGGCTGGAGCGCTCGGCGGCCGAGCAGCGGGAGCAGCTGGCCCGCGCCCAGCGCCTCTTCGACGGCCGCTGGGCCGAGCTGGACGGGCGGCTGCGCGGGCTGGAGCGCCGGCTGGACGGGACGGGCCAGGCGGGAGCCGGCAACAGCAGCGGGAACGGCCCGGCGGCGGCGGAGAAGGAGCAGGGCGCGCTGCAGGTGCGTCCCGGATCGAGAGGTCGAGCGCGCCGCCCCCGGGCGCTCTGCACGCGGGCAGAGGCAGCCTTTGTCTGCGTCGCCTGACGCCCGTCCCGTCCTGCCTTTCAGAGCCGAGAGCGGCCCCCGAAGGCTGGGCAGGGGGGCAGCCGAAAGCCGCCCTTCTCCTCGTTCCCGGGGCTCCTTTCCCCTTGGCTGGACGGGCTCGGCCGGCAGTCGGCTGCCCGGGCTTTCCCCCGCCGGAATTCAAACCTGGCTCGGATTCTCTCCCCCCCCCACCCCCCTCCCGAGGGCTTCCCAAATCGCCAAAACTGCTGGGGAAAGTTGCGCGCCAGGCAAATCTGTGCGTAAAAGCGCCTTGGGGAGGAGGGTCTGCCAGCTGTCCCGGAGGCGTCCAAAGTGGAGAGAGGAGGCCGAGGGTGCGAAGGCGCTCGTGGAAAAGAAGAGGGGGACCGGGTGGTGGTCTGCGCAAGACGCCCCCCCCTCCCACCCCTCCACCCACCCCGGTTCCCCCGCTCGCCTCCCGGGTTGTGCAAACGGATCCCCGAAGTGAAACGGCCGCGGTGCCCGTCCTGCGCTCGGAGCTGCGCTTTGAGGATGACTCCGGGGCAGGGGTCCCCAACCCCCGTGGGGGGGGGAGTCCGTAGACCGGCACCGGTCCGCAGCACGACGAGCAAAGCCGCCTCCGCGGGATGCAAGAGGCAGGCGAAAGCAGGCAGCCCTGTCTCCGGGGAACCGGTCCCCTGGTGTCCAAGAGGTTGTGGGGATGGAGGACACTAGTCCAGGGTTTTGGTTCCCCCCCCCCCATGTGGTTGGTGGCTCAGCTCAGGTCTTTTTTAGATGGCTAGGATTCTGGTGATTTTTTTTCCCCCACCCCACCGCTCTCCTCCTCCACACACAACACACACACCCCAGATTAGCCACGTTGATCTCCCCCAGCCTGTTTCTTTGTCTGTCCTAGAACCTGATCAGGCGTCAGAACGTGAGGATTGAGGAGCTGCTCCAGAAGATCAAGCAGCAGCAGTTCCGGATGGACAAACAGAACCTGCAGATTAAGAGCCTTCAGAGCAAGGTATTTTGGGGGGGGGGTGCAGGGAGGGAGGGGAGGGGCCCTCCTGCAGGCTGAAACCCCCCCACCCCCCCACTTTTCTGGAGGGCAGTTGAGGCATTCCAGCAGATCACCTGCGGGAAGGGGTGTGAGGGGCAGAGGGAGGGGTGGGGAGTGGGAGTTGAATGGGGAAGGGAAGGAGAGGCTGTCTTGACTTGGTGGGTAGGTGGGTGGGGGGAAACCTGGCATAAGGTCTTGGAGTCTCATGCTCCCTAGAAGGGCAGTGGCCCATGGGCTGGAGGGCACTGTGGGGGGGGGGGGGAGAAGGGGAAAAAAAACCACCAACGGGGAATTGAGGGGAATGGCAGGTGAAATTCAGCTGGGGAAAAAAAAAAAAACCTTCCAGAAATGTCAGCTCAGACCTGTGTGGTCGGCGGCTGAGGATAATGGGGGATGTGGTAGGCAACATCTCCAGGGTTCCAGCACGGGGGGAGGCTTTGTTAGGCTGACAACATGGCAGGAAACCTGGGCCCCTCCCCTTTAATTACTTTTCTCCAACTAAGATGGGGAAGGGGCTTAATTTTGTAGCTGCCTGACTTTTAGTGTGTGTGTGTGTGTGTGTAGGGGGGAAATGCCTCCTATGAGGGACCACCTAGATACGCTCTTTCCCCCCCCCCCCACCTGTTTTTCTTGCAAACCTTTCCAGTCCAAATACCAAGGCAGAGAAAGAAAAGGCAGAGAATTCCAGAATGGGAAAGGGACTGTGGAGGTCATGTAGTCTCACCCTTGCCTTTGGTGAAGAATCTTGTTTTACAGTTAGGGTAATGCAGATGGCAAAGGGCAGGAGACTGGCCATTTCTCAACCTGGGTGGGTTTTAAGACGGGTGGACTTCAACTCCCAGAATTCCCCAGCCAGCCCCGGAGGGGGCTGGCTGGGGAATTCTGGGAGTTGAAGTCCACCCGTCTTAAAATCCGCCCAGGTTGGGACAATCAATTTCCTCAAATTGAAAACAAAAATGTGAGAGTGAACTTGTTAATTTCCATATGCCGCAGGCTGAACATTAATTCGACCTTTGATCTGGTGGATATTTCCTCCCACTCAGCTCTTGCCCGGCTCACTTGTGTGTTTTCTCTTTTAATTGTAATTTGGGGAAACAGCCCAGAAGTTTTTACGGGGAAGGGGGTGTATTTCTCCTCACTTTTTATGATCTCTGGCTCCAGACAACCCAACTCTCTCTCTCTGCCAGATCATCCGCCCTGAAGGGTTTGGTGGAGAGAGGTCTTTATTTATAATTTTTTTTAAAAAAAAAACTTATTTATTAAATGTATCCGCTGGCCGATTCTTAGGGCAAGGAGAGCCCCTGAAAATGAATTGCAAGGGACCAGCCTTGCAAAGAAATCTGGTCCAAAAAGATCTTTCAGCTTCCCTGTAAGTCAGTGGTTCTCAACCTTTTTAATTCCGCGACCCCCCCCAACCGGTCGTAAGTCGAGGACTACTCGACCGGTCGTAAGTCGAGGACTACTCAACTGGCGCAGCACCGTTTGCAGAATGGGACTTTTGGCGGGCTCAGCAGGGCAGAGGCAGCCTGGACAATTCCTATTGGCTTTGGAAAGCCAATAGAATTAGACTCTATTCAAGAGAGTCTATTCTACTGGCTTTCAAAAGCCAATCAAATAAAAGGGAGTAGCACAGCTAAGGAAAAGGGGGGAAAAAATGGCGGACTGCGTTGTTTGGCGACCCCCGTGAAATGGTCGTTCGACCCCAAATGGGGTCCCGACCCACAGGTTGAGAAGCACTGCTATAAGTGATGGATAAGCAGATCTGTCCTTCTCTGCCAGGCAAGCTCACACTTTGTGACGTACAACATCAGCTGCTTCCTTTGGGGCTCAATTCAACTGTGACCCTCCTACATCGGGTGGGAAAGTTTTAGTTCTCCGGGATCTTCTTTCAGTCCTTGCCTTAACGGCCATTTGCTTAACAACGGTTCCAAGTGATAACACTGGAAAAAAGTGACTTCCCACCGATCCTCGCATTTATGACCGGGGCGTCCTGGAATCACGTGATTGCTAAGCAGATTCAAGGGAGGCCAGCTGGATTTTCTTCACAGCTCTGTAATTCGCTTAATGCCTGAAATTAGGCAGGAGTTATTTAGCAACCGGTCGCTTAGAAATGGACGTGCCAGTCACAATTTTGATTGCAAGTTGAGGAGTATTGGTTGTTTGTCTGGTGTTAATCCCGGCTTATCTTGAGTTTCTCAGTTTCTCTCCTCCATCTGCCCTCTTTCTTAGTGCCCCGTCAGTTGAAGGCTGGTACAGAAAGCCCACTCCTGTATTGTGTAAGCCCACTCCCGTATTGTGTCCTGTGCCCTCAAGAGTGGGAGAAGATCCAGAATCCCATAGCTGGCATTCTGGGAATGGGTACAGCCACGTGTCTGGAGGGCACTGCGTTGGAGAATAAAAGACTATTTCCACCAATCCATACCCAGATAAGCAGGGATTAACACCGGACAAACAAGCATAAAACAATACCCCAATCAAGCAACTATCAAGGGGGCTAAAATCACACCTCTACCATCGCTGGCGGTATATAAATAGCACTGATAACGTTACCTAGTTGAGTAATAAAGGTCTTTAAGAAAAATCACCAAGCTCGGAGACCAGCAAGGAATCTGCAGAAAGAGAAACTCGGATAAGCAGGGATTAACACCAGACAAACAAGGGTTTACCTGTATAAGGGTGTGGCTTGTCTAAGGCAGTTTGAGGCCTACCAGGAGAGGTAGACGGGACCAGGTTTTTATTTATTTTGTATCCCACCTTTTATTACTTTTACAAATAACTCAAGGGGACAAATATCCAACACGCCCCCTTCCTCTTTCCCCCACCACAACAACCGTGTGGATCAAAGTCACCCAGCCAGCTTTCATGGCTAAGGCAGGACTAGAACTCACCGTCTCCTGGTGATTGGCCCAAAGTCACCCAGCTGGCCTTTCATGGTTAGGCTGGGACTAGAACTTACCGTCTCCTGGTAATTGATCCAAAGTCACCCAGTTGCTTTTCATGGTGAAGGCAGGACTAGAACTTACTGTCTCCTGGTGATTGACTCAAAGTCACCCAGCTGGCTTTCATGCCTAAGGCGGGACTAGATCTTGCTGTCTCCCGGTGATTGGCCCAAAGTCACCCAGTTTCTTTTATACTTAAAGCAGAACTAGAACTCACTGTCTCCTGGTAATTGATCCAAAGTCACCCAGTTTCTTTTATACTTAAGGCAGAACTAGAACTCACCATCTCCTGGTAATTGATCCAAAGTCACCCAGCTGTCTTTTATACTTAAGGCAGGACTAGAACTCGCCGTCACGTGGAGATTGGCCCAACGTCACCCAGCTGTCTTTTATACTTAAGGCAGGACTAGAACTCGCCGTCACCTGGTGATTGGCCCAACGTCATCCAGCTGTCTTTTATACTTAAGGCAGGACTAGAACTCGCCGTCACCTGGTGATTGGCCCAACGTCACCCAGCTGTCTTTTATACTTAAGGCAGGACTAGAACTCGCCGTCACCTGGTGATTGGCCCAACGTCACCCAGCTGTCTTTTATACTTAAGGCAGGACTAGAACTCGCCGTCACCTGGTGATTGGCCCAACGTCACCCAGCCGGCTTACACACCTAAAGCGGGACTACAACTCCTGCTTTGTAGCCAAGTGCTTCAACCACTAGACCAAACTGCTTCTGATGGAGGAGAGTCCAAATAGGTTGCCTGTGGATTCTGTCCGCCATCTTCCTTCTCTTTGAAAATTGAAAAAAAATAAATAAAATCCTTTTCCTCCCTCCCTCCCTCCCTCCCTCCCTCCCCCATTCCCAGGTCAACACGCTCATCCCGTTGCACCGCAGCGAGAAGGACCTGCAGAGGCCCCGGTGGAAGGTGACCGTCCAGCGGAGCGCGGACGGTCAAGCGGTCAACCACAGCCAGTTGGCAAAGCCTGCTGGGAGCCCAGAAGCTTCGAGTGAGTAGGCAGCCATCTTGGCTGTATTTATTTATTTATTTATTTAACACACACACACACACACACACACACACACACACACACGGGTTTGGAAGAAATTCTTTTTTTTTTTTCCTTTTGCACAAGTACTGGCTTGGCGATGCCAGAGGCCGAGAGCCAGCTGCCAACAACATGTCGGTGTTACAACACTTTTTAGGTTGGCAGGGAAAAAGCTGGGCAAATTCAAAAGTTCAGTTCATCCTAGTCAGAGGTAGGCCACCTTGGCTCTTTGATGACTGGTGGACTTCAACTCCCAGAATTCCTGAGCCAGCCGTGCTGAGGGGAAAGGGAGAGTTTTCAAGCTGAGCCAGGCTGGCTCAGGAATTCTGGGAGTTGAAGTCCACCAGTCCTGAGGGGGCCAAAGTTCCCCCATGCTGGCTCAGGAATTCTGGGAGTTGAAGTCCACGAGTCCTGAGGGGGCCATAGTTCTCCCATGCTGGCTGAGGAATTCTGGGAGTTGAAGTCCACGAGTCATGAGGGGGCCCTAGTTCTCCCATGCTGGCTGAGGAATTCTGGGAGTTGAAGTCCACGAGTCATGAGGGGGCCCTAGTTCTCCCATGCTGGCTGAGGAATTCTGGGAGTTGAAGTCCACGAGTCATGAAGGGGCCGTAGTCCCCCCATGCTGGCTCAGGAATTCTGGGAGTTGAAGTCCACGCGTCATAAAAGAGCCAAGGTGGTCTACCCCTGATCTTGGTGAATCAGGCCTGGGGCAGCTCTCTGGGTGCCCTCAAATTGGAAAAAAATTAAAACCCAGAAAGAGACAGATATACAGGCAGTCCTCAGCTTAACAACCACAGCTCAACCCCAAATTTCTGTTGTTAAGTGAGACACCCTGTGGGTAAAGGATTTTGTAGAAAAAAAAAACTCCAGTCAGCCTAAATCTTTGTCCTGGGACTCCGGCCTACTTTCCCCAGGAAGAATCATGAGGACTAGTGCTCTTTCCGTCCTTTTAGCCGTAATTCATTACGTCAGCAGGTTGGCCAAAAAAGGGGTCGGGGATTGCTAGTTAGTTCTCGGCTTATGACCGAAGTTCAGCTCAACATTTGATGATGATGATGATGACGATGATAATAATAATAATGATAGTAAAGTTGGAAGGGACCTTGGAGGTCATCTAGTCCAACCCCCTGCTCAGGCAGGAAACCCTATACCGTTTCGGACAAATGGCTGTCCAGTCACTTCTTAAAAACTTCCAGTGTTGGTGCATTCACCGCTTCTGGAGGCAGGTTGTTCTGAAGCCAAGCGAGACGGTTGTTAATTGAACTCCCTCACCTCATTTTACGACTTTTCTTGCCACAGTCATTCAGCTGCAGTTGGTAAATTAGCAACACAGTCGTTAAGCGAAACTGGTTTTCACCCCCTTGACTGTCGGAAGGTCGCAAAAGCGGATCCTGTGACCCCCCCCCCCGCGACATGGCAATCGTCCTAAGTACATGCCAGTTGCCAAAGGTCTGAATTTTGATCAGGGGGGGGACACGCTGCAACGGTTCAAAGTGTGAAAAAACAGCCATGTGTCTTTCCCCCCCCCATTGTAAATTCAAACGGTCGCTAAAAGAGCTGTCGTAAGTCGAGGTGGGAGGGAAGCGGGTGACGGGCCGGGATGCCCAGACTGAAAACTAGAAAAACAGTTTTTCAAAGTTGTGAACGTTTAAATGGGGCGGGGGGGACCTCCCACTCCCCGAATTCTTCCATCCACACCAGAAGATTTGCCAACTGTACTGGATTGGGGCAGGCTGAGCAAGAACAGGGTCTCTGCCCGCGTTGCTCAACGGAGCATCCTTGCTCAGGGGCAGTCTATCCCTGCATAACAGACGCTCTTGAGCCCAACAGATCCTGAGGCTTATGTATGTATGTGTGTGTGTATATATATATTATATTAAAAATAATGCTAAAAATCGAAGAGTGTATGTGTGTGTGTGTGTGTTTTCTGAGGTTTTTGAGGGTGTTTGTATGTAGGTCTTTGGTTATTCGGGTTTTTCTCCCGCGTCAAATTGGAAGTGTCTTGGTGACGTTTCGACGAAGTCTCATTCGTCATCTTCAGGCTGGTGTTTTCGGCTTCGTGCTCCTAGAAGCACGAAGCCGAAAACACCAGCCTGAAGATTATATATATATATAAAATAAGCAATGTGGGGCTTTACAGAGGCCCAAACTGCAAGGTTAGGTGGGTTCACGGCTGGTGCAAAAAGACCCCAGCTGACCAGCCTGTTGTGCAAAGGGCACACACAAAGCGGAAAAAGACACACAACTTGCACTTGCGCTGAGATCCACCCGGCTTCAGCCTGGACCTTTCGGAGTTGTGCGTCTGTACATGCTCGGGAGCCCTCATCCTCTCCCCTTGCTTTCCTTCTTCCCAACCTTGGCAACCTCAAAGTCTTTATGGGCTTCAACTCCCAGCGTGGCTGGCTGGGGAATTCTGGGAGTTGAAGTCCACCAGTCATAAAAGGGCCAAGTTTGAAGACCCCTGCCCTAAATCTTAATAATTACCACCTTGACCAACAGCAGCTGCCTCCCCCGACCCCCATTTAACAGACCCCGGACTTCCCTCTTTGGGCTTGCTTTGGTCTTCTCCCTCCAGATGTGCAGGGAGGAGCCTAGCCCAAACATCTGGAGGCTGCCGGTTAGAGAAAGCACTGTTCCCCCCCCCCTTTCTCCCCATTGTGGGTGGCCGTCTGCCAAGTGTGTGAAGGTTCAGCCGGAAAGCTTGACGGGTGCCGGGAGCTGCGGGGTTAATAGCTGGTGTGCCAGGAAAAAGGGGGGGGGGCTCCTGGGGGTGGGAAGCAAAGGAGAAGGCTGGCCTCTCTCCAAGTAGGGGAAAGGCCAACCCCCCCCCCCTTTCCCCATTCCTGCTCCGGGCTTCCAAAATATGCAGAAACCATCCAGATCTACCCCAGGAAAGGCAGCGGAAACCTGCAGAGAGGCTGGCTTGCTTTTGCATCCCCCCCCTCCGTTCCCAACCACCAGGAAAATGTGCCCCCCCCCAAACCTCCCAGCCAGCCTGGATTTGGGGCTTTGCCTCTCAGGAGAGAAAATTTGCAGAATTTCTGGCTAACACAGAATCTACAGAAGGTTTTTTTTTCCTATTTAGGGAAGCAGACCTCCCAAGCAGGATCATGGATTTGCAGACTGTAGAATGAGAGAGCTGGAAGGGACCTTGGAGGTCTTCTAGTCCAACCCCCTGCGCAGGCAGGAGAGCCTAGCTAGACCATTTCAGTCCATCGATCGATCACAATAGAGCTGGAAGGGACTTTGGAGGTCTTCCAGTCCAGCCCCCTGCTCAAGCAGGAGAGCCTAGACCAGGGGTAGGCAAGCTGGCTCAGGAATTCTGGGAGTTGAAGTCCATGCGTCGTAAAAGAGCCAAGGTGGCCTACCCCTGCCCTAGACCATTTCAATCAATCAATCAATCAATCAATCTAAATAGAGCTGGAAGGGACCTTGAAGGTCTTCCAATCCAACCCCCTGCTCAAGCAGGAGAGCCTAGACTGTTTCAATCAATCAATCAGTCAATCAATCAATCAGGATACAGCTTGAAGGGACCTTGGAGGTCTTCCAGTACAGCCCCCTGCTCAAACAGGAGAGCCTAGACCAGTGGTTCTCAACCTTTTTAATGCCGCGACCCCCAACCGGTCGTAAGTCGAGGACTACTCAACCGGTCGTAAGTTGAGGACTACTTAACTGGTGCAGCACCGTTTGCAGAATGGGACTTTTGGCGGGCTCAGCAGGGCAGAGACAGCCTGGACCATTCCTATTGGCTTTTGAAAGCCAATAGAATTAGACTCTATTCAAGAGAGTCTATTCTATTGGCTTTCCAAAGCCAATGGAATAAAAGGGAGTAGCACAGCTAAGGAAAAGGGGGGGGGGGAATGGCGGACTGCGTTGTTTGGCGACCCCCGTGAAATGGTCGTTTGACCCCAAATGGGGTCCTGACCCACAGGTTGAGAACCACTGGCCTAGACCATATCAATCAATCAATCAGAATAGAGATGGAAGGGACATTGGAGGTCATCTAGTCCAACCCCCTGCTCAGGCAGGAAACCCTATTCCGTTTCAGACAAATGGCTGTCCAGTCTCTTCGTAAAAACTTCCAGTGTTGGAGCATTCACCGCTTCTGGAGGCAGGTGGTTCCGCCGGTTAATTGTTCTCACTGTCAGGAAGTTACTCCTTAATTCTAGGTTTGTCCCCACTTTTCTTAGAGGTAATCTCTTTTGGGGGGGGGGCTTGAAGAGGGCCAATCCAAAGCTTCCAATTCACCCCAAGAAAGTCCTCAATTCCCCCACCTAAAAAGGCTTAGAAACCTAGTGCAGCTCTATTGGGGGATAATTAACCCTTGGACAGCCAGGTGTCAGGGCAGTCTACCTGAAAGTGCCGAAAAGATCAGCCTATCCCAGTTTGCAAGGGACACCGTCACATCCAGGGTGGCGGGGCAATTCAGGCTAGTTGCCGAACGTTCTCGGTCCAGGTCTAAGAGAGGGGAGTGGGACTTTGCAAATAAAGGGGGCTGGAATGGGGGGGGGGGCAGGCCTGTTCCCCAGCAGAGATTCTTCCCAGAATGGGTGGTGATCAGCGTGGAAGAATTGTGACTCATGCCGATGACAAAGGCCTGGGATGCCAAGGGTCTGGGCATGTTGTGCATTACACACACACACACACACACACACACACACACACACACCCCTTACACAAACGGGTAAAAATTCTCTGGGGAAACAGCATTAAGCTCTTTCCCCAATGTTTTCGGTTTTTTTGCTGAGCCTGTTGCAAATCAATTAGGTCAAATGGTGGGTGATTGATCCCAAATCGGATGTGGATAGGATGGGATGGGATAGGATAGGATTGGATGGAATGGAATGGAATGAAATGGAATTAGAAGAGAAGAGAAGAAGGAGAGAATACAATACAATACAATACAATAAGAATAGAATAGAATAGAATTTAATAGAATAGAATAGAGCAGAATATAGAAT